GGTTTTGTAGCTCTGCTTAAAAGATACGTTTCTCCAGCATCAACAGCATATGTCAGAACCCCCTTACGTTTAGCATATGATAGAGCATTCTTTGCAGCCTTCTTGACATCAGCTGATACTGAAACGCGACCGCCCGTCGTTCCTTTCCCCTCAACGTCATCGCTATCGTGAATACCAATACCTGTCATCGATTTAATAGCTGCACGAGCAGGAATTCCAGCCTGTGGGGCTCCGAAAGCAGTAGCTAGAGCAGTTACGGCAGCATCGGCAGCACGCGAAAGAATTCCACTGTCCTTTGCGAATTTGAAAGCCGATTTAATTCCTCCCCAAACTTTGCTCCAAATGGAACCACCTTGAGCTCGTTTGTATCCCTTCTTGACTTCGTGCTTAGTGATATCAAGTCGAACACCACGCCCAGCTCTACGTGCCTTAAGGGCCTTCTCGTGCGACGCGGGGTGAAGATGAATAACGCTGCCGCTACCCTTCAGTTCGTCAGCTGTTAGACTGAGTTTACCGGTCTTGACTGCTTTAGTCAGCTTCCGCTCTGGAACATTGCTAGAAATCGTTAATTCACGATACATGCTTATATTTTCTGAAACAAATTATTCTAGAATGGTCAAATTCAGATCTTTCATCTTTTTGAATATATTGGGGTTGATTGTGCTGCTTTGAATATAACCAAAGAAGACAGAAAGGCCCGCAATAGTCACCGTATGTCCCTTGGTATTGCTTACTATTGTAACATTTAATTCCGTATTTTCGTGGAGGCCCTTCGCCCATACTATCAAAATAGTCTCCGTTGTAGACTGCCGTCCAATGTCCTACATCGAGATTTGGTGGCCTCAATAGAATTAAGTATGACCCTTTCTTTGAGAGCGGTTTTGTAATCTCACTAGATTCAAAAATATCATCAAGATGAACGCCTTATTTTCGGCGAGTTCTATAAAATCGTGATTACTCGTAATAGGCTTGATAAGGTCTGTCATAATACTTAATTTTAAGAAAATTTTTCTTTTTGGAAAAAACCAATGTGGGGGAACCATTATATTTTCCAAGTGTTGGAAAAAAAAAATTTCTCGCAAAACAAATATAAAAATAAAAATTCGCTCGAAAAAGGCATTTGCGAAAAAACAAATATAATTCGCGCCAAGGGCGCGGGGGCGCCTGTTTTAATGTGATTTTAAAACGCGGTTGCCAACCCCAAGGGGTTATTAGAATACGCTACGGCTTCAGCTGAACCGGAAGTGAGGGGATTTGCTCCGCTCCGCGATGCTTACATCATGCTTCCTTACAAGGTTACTATGAAAAACGATACTACGGCTCAGACAACAGCTGCGAATCGTTTCTGTGCTACTCTAAAGTGTGGAAACTGGGACGTCATTGATTCGATGTCTTTAGAACTAAATGGCAAGACTATTGTGAGTATGGCTGACTACAAACTCTTCTGGAATAACATCCGGGCTCAAACCGGCTATAGCTCTCAGTATGTTGAGAAGCATGGAGCGGAGTCGTTCCTTTACCCCGATGCTGCTCAGTCAGTTCTATACAGTAGCGCAGTCACTTCTACTACTGGTGATGGCTATTCGAACACTACAGCATTTTCTCCTTCGTTTGCTGCGACTGGACCATCCGGTGGAGCTTCTATTGCTAGCGATGGTCTTGTAAAGCGACTGCTATCAAACCCTCCATCTGCTGGTTCTGATTTCAGCGCTTCTTGGCCTTCCCTTGGAGCTGCTGCTGCTTCTACAACCATTGCTAACCAGACCGCGCGCGGTGCCTTTGTAGCTGGAGCTGCTACTGCCAATGCAATCATAGGTACGTGGAACTACATGCTTAAGATTAAGTTAGATGATCTTCACCCGATCTTGAAGGAACTTGATCTAATGGCGAATCCCCAGATCCGTCTTTGCTTCAGAGTAGACCAAGGTGTATCAGCGGTGGCTGTTGATGCTGGTAAGGGGATGAAGCTAACTTCAACTACTCTTGCATCGGGTAATACATGTCCCGTGATGGTTGCCGCCTCAAGCACTTGTAATCCAATGGCGAGTGTACTTGCAGCTTCTGCGCGTTTCAGTATCGCGTGGGGAGCTGTTGTAGACTCACTCGATCTTACTATTGATGGTACGTACATGCCTTTCACGACTGCTCAACTTTACGTACCATTCGTTCATTTAGAGAACCCCCAGGCAATTGTCTAAAACATGTGAAGAAGGTACGTTTCAACGATTGCTACGCTCAATGGTTTTACGA